AGGGACATTAGCATTATTAAGCACTTAAATTTAATCATAATGATAAATGCTGAGCTTCCTACATACCCTTTGCATTATTCGGTGCCCATAAAATACAGGCTTGTTTCTCTGTTATATTATGTCTCAAAATTGTAAATAAGAGCATGTTCCACATCAGCCTGCAAATTTCTAAGTAACTGTGTCTTATTCCCAAGCAGTCATTTACAAACACACACTACAACATACTATGTGACAGATGAGGGCACTGGAGGGATTTTCATTTGAGGCAGGTGTTAGTCCCAAGGCATGGATGAGAAAGCTATGGAAATAAAGAGAGGACATGGGCTGACAATACTCAATGGGATGGAAGTGAGAAATAATTTCTTCATTTTGATAGTTATGTGAAATATCAAAGTAAGACTTGAAGAGGTTGCTGCAGAAGATATTAAGGATGCAAAAATCCTCACCTCTGAGCCAATAGGCAGTATCCTGACAGATGAAGAAGGGACTGGAGTTGTTAATGATTTAATCTCATTTGGATGCATCATCAATCCTTGGGACCAGCAGTAAGAAATCAAAAGATGGGTTGTACTCGGAAAATCTGTTGTCTAGGATCTCTGCAGAGTGCTAAAGTGCAATGATGTCAGTTGAAAGATTAAGGTGCACCTCATCCAAGCCATAGTCTTTTCAACTGATTGCTATGCATCTGAAGGCCTGACAATGACTAAAGATCACAGCAGAAGAATCAATGCCTTTGGATTCTGGAGAAGAGTATTGAATATTCCGTGAACTGTCAAGAAAAGAAACAGGTCTGTCCTGGAGAAAGGGAAACTTAAGTGCTTTTTTGGAGACAAAAATAGTGAAACTGTTTCACGTACTTTGGGTATGTTGTCAGAAGGGCTGGTCCTTGGAGAAGGTTATCATGCTTGCAAAGGTGGAGGGTCAGTCCAAGAGAAGAAGCTCCTCAATGAGATTGACTGACACAGTAACTGTAGCAATGGAGTCAAGTGTACTGGAAATGGTGAGGCTGGCTCAGGTCAAGGTTCAGAAATGCTGTTCATAGGGTCACTATGAGTTGTAGTCCACTTGACAGAGAAAAAGAAGGAAGAAGAAGGAGGAGGAGGAAGGAGGGGGAGGAAGAAGGAGGAGGAGGAAGGAGAGGA